CCCCCCCCCCCCTTCTTGAAAATCGTTTCTTTCAAGCAGTTATAAATGTTGGCGCGGAGGGGGGGGGGCAGGTAGTTCTGTAAAATATACACTATACACCTCTGTAATAGTATAGATCTTGATTTTGAAGAAATATGAATTGATTCTTGAACTTTTTGATATCTAAATATTTATTTTAGTAAAGCTTATCGTTTGCATACATACTAATTAATAGTTAGGTTTCGTTACATTCATCATTACAATAGCTTACTATTTTAACATACATTATTACAATTAATTGTATATATCTGTAATGATGCGGAATAATTCTATTTGAGTGTTAAAAATATTTTGCACTCCGCTGCCAAAAATACGTTTAATTCTTCAATTTTTTTATGTTGTTAGTTTCTCTGCTCCCTTTCCCTTTGCGCAGATGACTGAGGAGTCCTCTTGGAACTGGATACAGATTTTTTCTGGGACATTAGTATAGACTGGGGAGTTTTCTGGGACTCATCGGCGAAGTTGGAGTATCTTGGGACCTCACGGCGAAAATGGGAGTCTCCTGGGTTCTCACAATGGAAGTGGAAGTACTCGCTTGGGACCTTACAACGTAAGTGGGAGTCACTTGGATCACGGAAGTGGGCGTCACTTGGGACATCACAGAACTGGGAGTCATCTGGGACATCACCACGGAACTGGGAGTCAACTGGGACATCACCACGGAACTGGGAGTCATCTGGGACATCACCACGGAACTGGGAGTCATCTGGGACATCACCACGGAATGAGGGTCATCTGGGACATCACCACGGAACTGGGAGTCCTCCGGGACACAACCACGTTCGTAAGAGTCTGCATTGGCCTCACCATAGGTGCTTCCTTGGAAGAAGGGATGGTTTCATTTTCTTTTAATTTTTTTCTGCTCTTTCTCACCCTTTTCCTCATTTTTCTCCTCTTGTTCGGCATCCTGGAAAGAGACTGGGGGAGGGTACCGAGGGTTTGGGAGAAGGAAAAACATTCTTTACCTCCTCTAGACCATAACCTCAGCTCCACAGATTCACCGGCCTTAAATTCCTGGTATAGAGCCAGGACCCGCTGTATTGAACCCATATTTATGTGTTAAGTTGAAACAGGTTGCCCAGGTAGAGTGGTTGTTACCAACATTTCAGCTGATTTGGGGGCCAACACAGGTTTGCGGCAAAACTAGGCAGGGAGGAGAGAGCTGGTTGCTAACAGGTTGAATGCCGGGTCAAGACTGAGGAATGCCGGGTCAAGACTGAATGCCGGGGCAAGACTGAATGGCCGGGTCAAGACTGACGAAACGCCGGGTCAAGACTGACTTGAACTTGATATTGCTCTTGATCATAATATATTATCTATAATCTTAATCTTAATCTTAATCTTATTCTTGTAGGCGTTTAACCTGGTGAAGGATGTAACCTCCGCTCTGTCGAAGGGATACGCATTCGCGGAGTATCTGGACGGATCCATCACAGATCAGGTTCCTTCATTTATTCATTCATCTTATCCTTATTTTCATTTATTCTATCATTCCTTTCATTTATTGTATCCTTCCTTTCATTTATTCTATCCTTCCTTTCATTTATTCTATCCTTCCTTTATTTCATCCTATTCTCCTATTCTTCCTTCCATTCATTCTATCCTTCGACCTTCCTTATGTTAGAAAAATATAGGAAAATATATATGCGCTGGGGTGGGAGGGGGTAGCTTTGATGGTAGAACATATGAAGTTCTTTGTCTCTAACCAGCAAACTGATGTTTTCTCTAATAACTTTGATATTATTCAAATTAGAAGCCTTCCTTATCTTCCCTTCATTCAACCCTATATTCATCCTGGCATGATACTTTCCTGTAATCCTGTAATCCACCTTGTTTTTATCCGAAAATTCATTCATCCTATCCTTCCTTTCATCCTTCCTATCCTTCCATTCATTCATCCCATATTCATCCTGGCATGATACTTTCCTGTAATCCTGTAATCCTGTAATCAACTTTGTTTTTATCCGACCAATCATTCATCCTATCCTTCCTTTCATCCTTCCTATCCTTCCCTTCATTCAACCCTATATTCATCCTGGCATGATACCTTCCTGTAAACCTGTAATCTACCTTGTTTTTATCCGACCAATCATTCATCCTATCCTTCCTTTCATCCTACCTATCCTTCCATTCATTCATCCCATATTCATCCTGGCATGATACTTTCCTGTAATCCTGTAATCAACTTTGTTTTTATCTGACCAATCATTCATCCTATCCTTCCTTTCATCCTTCCTACCCTTCCCTTCATTCATTCCATATTCATCCTGGCATGATACCTTCCTGTAATCTACTTTGTTTTTATCCGACCAATCATTCATCTTATCCTTCCTTTCATCCTTCCTGTCCTTCCATTCATTCATCCCATATTCATCCTGGCATGATACCTTCCTGTAATCTAATTTGTTTTATCCGACCAATTATTCATCCTATTCTTCCTTTCATCCTTCCTGACCTTCCTGGCGTGATACCTTCCTGTAATCTACCTTGTTTTTATCCGACCAATCATTCATCCAATAGTTCATATTCATTCAGTCAAGGATATTAATGCATTGAATAAAATATTCTTTCACCATTTTATCCTTGCATTCAATCAATCATTCGCTAATTTATTTATTGTATTTATTCATTTATATGTTCGTTAATTGATATTAAATTATTTAAATAATAAAACGTAGTTTTACTTTCCTCCCACAATACTAATAGTTTATGTATTTCTTCAATTTTCAATGATTTAATCATATTTCAAACACTGATGTTCGTTGATGATATGGTTTTTTTCACCATTTTTTTTATAAGCTATAAATCATTAGTTTCTATTTAAATTATGTTTAAAAATGTTTAAACTGTGAAGGCTATTGCTGGTCTAAATGGTATGCAGCTGGGAGATAAGAAGTTAATTGTACAACGAGCCAGCATTGGACAGAAAGCATTGGGAGTTCCTACTGGTCTACAGGTTTGTACATTGTAGGAATTAACGGAAGGTTTATTTCCTTGGAAAAAAAGATAAATTGAAATTAAGTGTGAGAAATATACGTAATAAATTGTACACTATTTACTTTCGGTCTGTACTTTGCGATTTTTTTATTTTCTAATTTTATTTCGAACACCGATAACATTACATGCAGCCACTTTTTTCTTGCAATTTTTCGGTGCGGGTTTAATTTGACAAATTGTTTAAGATTCGCTCGTTACGTGAAATTTCAGTAACTTTTCTAAAAAGCATTTCCCAACGCGAATGTTTTGTAATATGTCGATATAATCTAAGCTTGACTTTCCTCCAGGTGCCTGGTCTTGTCAATGCTGGTCCTGGTCAGCCGACTGAGGTCCTTTGCCTCCTCAACATGGTGGTCCCCGAGGAGTTGACTGATGAGGAGGAGTACGAGGATATTCTGGAGGATATCAGGGAGGAGTGTGGAAAGTTCGGAGAGGTGATTATTTACATTTGTTTCGTCTCATTCTTGATCAGATTAAGATTAAGATTAGAGGACAAATATTTTAAAAATTTTAGTGGAAAAGTCCGACATCAACTGGCAATCCTTTTCCCAGTTTATAAACATTTAACATTTTTAAAATCTTAGTAAATAAGAATTCCTAAGATACACCCGTGCTTTCGGCCGAGATCATTTAAAACCTCAGATTTTCCACCGCTGGCTTTTTTTAAGGTTATGTAATTTATCTGCTGCGAAAAATTATAATTCAAGGGGGATCAATAAATCTTTAAAGCTGTAAAAATTTGAAGTAAAAGAACTAAAACGATTTTTCTCTAGGTTCGGAGCTTGGAGATTCCTCGCCCTGTTCCTGGAGTTGAGGTTCCAGGCTGTGGAAAGGTATTATTATTATTATTTTTAAAAATTTAACATTTCTCTTTTCTTTAATTTCTCTTCACTAATTTCCTGAATATACACGAAATTAAACATAAATCTTTTAATTTACGTCGTGGATACCCATAAAGGTGGTACCTGAAATATGGATATTGTTCCTCCAAATCTGGTCACAAACCAAAACTGTAAATCAAAAAGTTTTTAGAGTCACTTTTTTAAAATTTACCCCAGAATTTCCCGTATGAATAAAAGTGCGTTATGCAACTTGGCATTTCTTAAAGTGTGTAAATTATCTGTTGTTCAGGTATTTATTGAGTTTGGAAGTTCTACTGAATGTCAGAAAGCTCAGCATGCTCTGACTGGCCGGAAGTTTGCTAACCGCGTTGTAGTCACCAGCTACTTCGATCCAGACAAATATCATAGACGAGATTTCTAAAGAAACTCCGATCACCAATTCTCTCTCCCTTCTTTTCCACATCTTTTAGTTTTTATCAGAGCTAACTTAAACCCATTTAAGGGTTTTAACTAGCTCTAGAATTAAATGTTAAAAAATGGATAATGGGCTTTTTTGTTTTGACTTAATTGTGAATTTTTTCTTGTTTTTAGCTGAAATCACCTTGTACAAACTTGTCTTTTGTTTTCTCCTTTAATTCATGTCAATATTGGAACTAGAACATAAAATAAACATTGTTTATAAACATCGTTTTATTGTAAACAAGAGTTATGATCAGCGTTTCGGATCCGGATCCGGTCGGATCCGTATCATTTGGTCGGATCCGGATCCGTATCAGGAAACGTTGATATGGATCCGGGTAGCGCCAAAAATTAACCAAAACCATGGAATAAATAAATCAAAATGGTTCGTAAATGTATTATTTACATGACGAAAATTTTTCAAAATTATCTTTAATAATTTAATGTTTACATTTATATAATAGTAATGACGACATTTTTAACTTTAGGATTACTCAGCGGCAAATGCTCACATGGCGAAAATTTCAATTTCACAGAATCAAAAGTTACCTCGGATCCGGATCCGTATCAGAGTCAGGATCCGGATCCATCATCACGGATGCGGATCCGCGAATCCGGATCCGCATCAAAATGATACGGATCCGAAACACTGGTTATGATGGAGAAACAGTAGTTCTCAAATGAATAACTTATCATGGAGCTTATCAACATTTGGTGTAATATGTTTAGTCATGCAGTATACAGATCCTATCAGGGTTAGGGTTGTATGAAAATATTTAACTCGTCAGGGATGAATAGTTCCAATTGGGCTCCATATAGAACTTCTAAGTGACTGCCACGTTATTGGTCAGATGAAGGTTTAAAAGGTACTGTTGTAAATCGCGCATGTCCCTAAATTGTCAATTATATTTAAGTCTCCTGATATGGAATTTAAAGAATTTGAGCCGCGGTTTAAATCTGCCAAAACCCGGTTTAAATTAAGCGCCGGCTTAAATCTTAAAACATTTGATACAGTTTTAAGTGGAACCAACCCTATTAAAGCCGCGGCTCAAATTCTTTAAATTCGGCCACAGTTCTCTCAAGTTGACGGAAACAATATTCCTGAACTACAAATCAAAAGAATGTTTAATGAAAACCAAACTGGGACAAGATTTAATGAATAGCGAGAAGTAGTTGAACCACGTACCGCTGTTTCAACCAGTTCCCATTTGCGTCCGATTAAGTTCATAAGAAGGGCCTCATTTTAATCTACGTAGTGAAACATTTTTCCCATTCATGAAATCTGGTTTCTTACAATGATTGAACTGAAGGATGAAAACGCTTAATCTAATCCAAAAAGGATGATACTGTAATGACGAGCTAAAACATTTCATGGTTAACAAAGTAAAGGTAGAATTTTGTCTAGTCTATAATGTAGTTTGATAATTTGACAAAGTTCACAACTGTAGGGAAACATCAATGTAAGAAAAGTCGTCTCTGAAGTCTCGTCCGTTTGAGAAACTCGGTCAAAATCAATAAATCAATATCTAATTACAAGCTTCTTAGTAAAACTAGTGGTAGTTCATCTTTCGAGATTCCAGTTTTTATTTGTGAATTATTTCCTTCTTTAGTTTTCTCAGAAATCTTAAATGGCGTAAATAAATTCATATCCCCCCCCCCCCCACAGCTATATTTTAGATCTAGTGAACAATAAAACACAACCTAGCAAGCATTTACCGGATTTTCAAAAACCACCAGAATTTATTGGTAGGGTGGGTGATGATTATTAAAGAAAATATTTACTCCTTATCTATAACTTAAACTTCTCAACACATATTTATTAATTTAAGATATATTGATGAAATGAAACTGTCGTGTACACTTGTTGCCCTAAACCTCTGCATTATAAGGTAAAAAAGAGAAATTTTGCATAGTGTTTCCCATTATACACAGTAGTTGAGTGACCAGGTTATTACCGTCTACGATCTTATCTACAAGATGAGACTTCAATGACGACCTCAAGTTTTTTTATTCTAACGTTTTTAGGGTGTCTTGGGTATTTTAGTAATACAGGGTGTCCCAAGAAACATCGGAATTGAGAGACGACTTGAAAAACGTCTTTGATTTCTGATATTTAATGCATGGCAAAGAAAGTAAAAAACAAGGCTGTATGTCTGACGAGCTTTTCATAAAGTGGTCTAGACCTTTCTTGTAACTTAAAAATTTACGAAAATATTAGATATTAAGACAATTTTCTGTTTGTGTTCATGAAAAATTGCCGCATTGATCAAAGACGATATTAAAGTCGTCACTAAATATCCATGTTTATTGGAACACCCTGTATATTCAATGAAAAGCAACCAGAATTTTATGTATACAGCGAAACAAAGCAATGAAATTAAGAAATAGACTTGAAGACTATTCTCTACAATCTCATCCTTTAATTGTGGGATAACCCTGAATATGAAAGGAAAGGTTTATCTTTAAAAAAGTAGTGTTTTAATCTGGGCAGAGCATTCCATACTGTGATCCTCCGGTTTTGTTTCTTAATATTTACAAAGATACAAGATGGTAAAGGATTTATATCTAAATGTGAAGATAAAATAATACAGGATATATTTCTAGATGTCAGGATATGGTGGTAAAAGATTTATTTCTAGATGTCAGGATGTTATGATGGTAAATGATATATTTCTAGATGTAAAGATGATTTGATGGTAAAGAATATATTTCTAAATGTCAGGATATGATGGTAAAGGATATATTTCTATCCGGAGAATATATTGGTAAAGGATATGTTTCTAGATGTCAGGATATGATGGTAAAGGATAAATTTCTAGATATCAGGATATTGTGGTAAAGAATATATTTCTAGATGTCAGGACATGATGTGAAAGGATATATTTCTAGATGTCAGGATATGATGGCAAAGAACATATTTTTAGATGTCAGGATATGATGGTAAAGGACAAATTTCTAGATGTCAGGATTATATCATGGTAAAGAATATATTTCTAGATGTCAGGATATGATGGTAAAGGATATGTTACTAGATATCAGAATATGATGGTAACGAATATATATCTAGATGTCAGGATATGATGGTAAAGAACATATTTCTAGATGTCAGGATATAATGGTAAAGGATTTATTTCTAGATGTAAAGATGATTTGATGGTAAAGAATATATTTCTAAATGTCAGGATATGATGGTAAAGGATATATTTCTAGATGTAAAGATGATTTAATGGTAAAGAATATATTTCTAGATGATAGGATATGATGGTGAAGGATATATTTCTAGTTGTCAGGATATGATAGGAAAGGATATATTTCTAGATGTCAGGATGATGTGATGGTAAAGGATATATTTCTAGATATCAAGATATGATTGTAAAGGATATATTTCTAGATGTAAAGATGATATGATGGTAAAGGATATATTTCTAGATGTAAAGATGATATGATGGTAAAGGATATATTTCTAGATGGAAAGATGATATAATGGTAGATGTATTTCTAGATGTAAAGATGATATGATGGTAAAGGATATATTTCTAAATGTAAAGGTGATATGATGGTAAAGGATATATTTCTAGATTTAAAGATGATATGATGGTAAAGGATATATTTCTAGATGTAAAGATGATATGATGGTAAAGGATATATTTCTAGATGTAAAGATGATATGATGGTAAAGGATATATTTCTAGATGTAAAGATGATATGATGGTAAAGGATATATTTCTAGATGCAAAGATGATATGATGGTAAAGGATATACTGTTGGATCTAAAAACCTGTTTCGGAGAGGGCAGATCTTCTTGTAACAGGAATTGTATAGATATTTTTAACTCGTTTAAAATCGTTTTTCTACAAAAAAAATTAAAATAAAATATTGTTTTCTCTAAAATTGATTAGATATAATTACATATAATATTCCAATGGTGCAGTGGTGAGGTGTGTAGAAAATCAACATGTGTTAAAGTTAACCCAATGGTGAGCATTATTACAGATTTAATTTTAAGATTTTAAATTATAATTAAAGTTGACTGTAGATTCTTCGATTCTTTGACTTTGCTTTGTTCTTTACGGATATTTCGATCTATTAACATAATTAAAAACATCTGTATTTTACAGATGTGCCGATAAAAATAGGTTAAAGCATACATATACGTATTCTCAAAAGAAAAATATTTAATTTTTCAAATATTTTGACATTGACAAGGACGATTTTTATCTTATTTTAAGGAACAAAATCTTTAAAAATTCAAGTGTTTTTAAATATTATTTTTAAATGAATAAAAATGTGGTAGTGGGAAAACATTGCATTAAATAGAAAAATTTTAACCGAAAAATTTCTTGATTTTATTTTGATACAGTTGCCGTCGTGTATATCAACACAATGAAGACGACTTTCCATTTTGATTTAAAACATGCAGCATGGATACTCTTAAACAGAGAAAAAGAGAATCTGCCAGCTTCTCTTTGTTTACTTGTATTAAGCCTATACCCCTTTTCATTTATCGCGAACACTCCCTTTAAATAGAAAAGTCGTCTTCATTGTATTGATAAACACGCCGACCACTTTGAATAATTTGAACTCACAGTATTCATTTGTTTAGGCCCAGGGATGTTTAGATGACTCCTATTGTGAGGTAATATGTAGCTGAATATTGTTAAATATAAAATAAGTTTTTAAACCTTATTGCGTCCTCTACACATGGGACATTTGTCCTTTTCTTGAGATTTTTAGGACGTTATCCTTCGATCCAAAGTCGGCTTGATCCGCTAGATGACCAAAAATAAAGGCAAAAACTCCAAAACCAAATAATCAACAGTCTGGGAAACCTTAAAAATGTGTACGCCAAGCTGCAATAAGGGTTTAACTATTTCAAAAAATTACATCATGTTCACAATGTTGTTCTGAGCATAAACTCAATATCGAGATCAATGCTTGATCTTGATCTTTTGTTAATCTGGAGATCAATTTTTTCTTTTATTCGATAATCATACCCTAGAGGAATAACTGAAATGAAGAGATAAAGCATTGATCCTCAAATTAAAAAGGACCTTTGCGAATATCGAGATCAAACGATCGGGATCCAACACTCAAGGTTCCAGCTCTGTACTAATTTTCTCAGCTTTTGCTTATTTAACTTCTAGAGGTTATGGTAAAACTTCAAATCAAGCTGCCTGCATAATTGTAGCATCCTCTTAGCGTTGGTATAACTGTACCTCAGTTTGATCAACATATGTGATTTGTGGTTTTTCTCAAAAATAAACTTAAACATTAAAATAGACAAACTGCTGAATAATATTTTTGTCCCTTTTCTGACTTGGGAAAACTAAAAAATTGGGAAAACTAAAAAAGTCTGATTTGGGTTTCATCCTAATATACAAATAATATACATAGATTAAATTTATGTATATATTTATTGTTTATTGGAAATACAACTTCTTACATTTTTACGTTAATATATAAAGAAACTAAGAATTATTGAATAGGAAGGGTACGAGTGCTATAAAAATAAATGTATAAAATATGCTGATGAGGAGGCTATGGCGTGGTTGAAACAGGTTTGTTTTATCAACAAATAATTTAAAAGAGGTTTTAACCTGACTATTTAAAGATGGTCCATCAATATAAGATTTCCATAAGCGGTTTACAACAGTTTCAGTTAAATCTTAATCTGAGAAACAATGCAAATATTAAACTTCCGCCACAGAAAAAAGTTTGGCAGTTTTCGTTCCTATCCGTGCTGTTCAACTCTACGGGTTAAAATGTGTGGGTTCTACTTGATATCCTTGATGCCTCTTGGCAAATGTATCCAAAACGTTGTAAAGATCAAGGTTATAATTGTATCCTTATTGGACTTTTAAAATGTTTTATTAAAACTTAGAAACAAAAAATGCAAAACTTGTTGTCTGTACTGAATCCCCCCCACCCCTCATAGTCACACACATTTAAATAACACCAATTTTCTTCTTGTATATGTCATTGGGAGTATGCATAGAGAGGGAGGGGGTGCAGAGGCGCCATGATCCCCGCAAAAATGACCTCCGAACCTCAGGATTTGCAGAGTTACCTCCAGGCCCCGCAAAACTGGTCTCAGCCTCAGTGACGTCACCAAGCCTCCCGCCATTCTGTCTCCACGCCCCGCATTTTGGCTCCAATAAAAAAATGTTTGGCTTTTATTTCCACCAAGAACCTTTTTTAAAAAAATTCTCAACATGATGAAATAGTTCAGAATGATACATTAACATTTTGTATTAAAAAGTGAATTTTAATCGTATTTTGCTTTTCTAAATTTCACAAATTCCTTAAATTGTGAAAAACTATTGCAGTTTTGTATAAAGATAGAAAAATGTTATATTATTTTAGAGGGGTCTCATATACGAATCAAACAATATCAGCGGCAATTTACAAAACAAGGTAGTTTTTTGTGAAATCCTTGTATTTGTGATTTTATCATATGCTTTAGAAAATATTGAAGAACTATTTAAAAAAAAATTAAAACAAAGAATTAAAATAATCTAAATATCTATTACATGCTATACTAACAGGTTAGGGCAGCTTCTTGTCATATCTTGTTGTTTTATTAAGTTAAATTTAATTCTAAATAGTTTTTTTTTAGCGAGAGAATTCATTTATTTGACTGAAATAATTTATATACAGAGGTTAGGGCAGCTTCGTGTCATATCTTGTTGTTTTAATAAGTTAAATTTATATATTAAAAATTCGAGGAATTATTCATATAAATAAAAATTGATATACAGAGGTGGAGGGGGGGAGGGGGTGCGCAAAAACTCGTAAATTATAGGACAGATCCTCATTAATTTGCATTTTTATGATAAAATGTAATGCTAAGGAATCGAGAGTTAATAAAATCTTTAAATCATGATGTCTTCAAAAATATTAGATAAGTCGTTTATAAAGGTCGTCTTTTACTCATTCCATCTTAATTAATGTAAACACTTACAGAAAAACAACTCTAGAACAATTGAATGTATTAACATGTCAAAATTGTTGATTAAATGGTTCTTAAAACTATGACGGAGTCTACTATGAAGAGATATATTTTGATATTTGTTTGGTTAAGCCAATAAATTTAAACAAAAAATAAAAACAACAAGCGGAGACCAAAATGCGGGGCGTGGAGACAGAATGGCGGTAGGCTTGGTGACGTCACTGAGGCTGGGATACCAGTTTTGCGGGGCCTGGAGGTAATTCTGCAAATCCGGAGGCTCGGAGGTCATTTTTGAGGGGATCATGGCGCCTCTGCTCCCCCTCCCTCGTCTGAAGAGCTAAATAAAATTTGAAAGTAAACTGCAAGTACTCGCCACAAACCTCAACTTTATAATCGCTATATCTTTGCAACATGATGTGCATGGTGATGACTATTTGAAAATTTGGAAGAATAAAAATGTCCAATTTCAAGGGTCTACGACATTTGATTTTACAGATATCGGAATTAGAGTAATTTTGGCAAGAAAAACAGGATAGTTAAACTGGCTGCTTCCGGAATTATCTAGTCATAGATAAACACGTACATAAAAATGTACACAGCTGTTTCCAATCCATGTCAAGAGCTTGTCAAAGTATATCTTTACTAAATTTATTTCTCGAAAAACTTCTTTTTAAAGTTAGACCCGGACATTGCTTTTTAAAATTGTTTTTCGTAACGTTTTAGATTATGAAAAATAATGAAATTAGTTTTAAGCTCTTCATACGGAAATTCTCTGAGTTACTGGGGAGGGAGGTTTAATAATTTCTACGATCTTCAGACTTCGAGTGTTAGATCTACAGGGTGTCCCAATAAACATGGGAATTCAGTAACGAATTCGATATCGTCTTTTCAAATAATTCTTTGATTTAGTATAGTGATACCTACTGATGTGAGGTCCCACAAAAAATTTGGGCCCGATCGGTTCAGCCGTTTTGACGTTTATTGGATACAAACAAACAGACAAGCCAAATTTATATATAGATGGTGGAATTGATATATTTAGAAATATGATATAATGGCGGAATTGATATGTTTAGAAATATGATATAATGGTGGAATTGATATATTTAGAAATATGATATAATGGTGGAATTGATGCATGATGCTGATGGTACGCTAAAGGATGAATTTTAATCTAATAAAACCAAATAAATATCAAAATCATTACATTATATTACTTTTTTAATGCAGAGAGAGAAATAATTGACAAACTATTTTCTTAAAATCTAAATTTATGATAATTTATTAAATGGTCGTTGTTGTAATTTCAAGTTCCCCAACATTTAAAAAAAGGGCATGTTTCGATTCACAACTGTACCCTTGAAATCTTTATATCTCATCAGTTGTGTAAGATAACGTTGGTATTTTTAGCTTGAAAAGTGTTTAATTGTTAAAACTCCTGGAGCAGACATCTGAAGAAAAAACATAGTTCCATCCAATTAGATTATCAAGTACAATAGGTGGCAACATAGAAATGGATCAATTATACAATACGGCACAAGTGTCAAATATTACAAAGAAAACGAAATTTTCTCACATTATTTTACATGTTTTTCAAGATCAAATAATAAAGTGTAAAAACAGAAAATAAATAAGACGTAAAATTGCACCTTTTTCACTGTAAGATAAGCGCTTAATTATAAAATTATCACTGTTATTAATAATTTTATCGGACACAATACTGAGTTGATCCTTGTGATGTAAGAATACAGCTGTATTGGGAGTGTACAAATACTACGTTGTCATCTATTGTACTAAAATCTATTTGGTTCCATACAAGGAGAATTGAATAGAAGGAGGGAGCGATTGGGTTTCCGTACACTTTGCTGTGACGTTTTTGGACTGCTGAAGAACTAGTTTTTCTTTTTGCGTAACAACAATAATAAAGATTGTAAACAATAACACAAATGATAAACAGACACCTGGTATCTCTGGCGTATTTACAAAGGGCGGGGGCGGATAACCTTGAATTTGATTGAAAATGTCGCTGTAATAAGGTCCTTTACGTATAAAACTAAAATCCTTACCTTTTTCAATCTTTTTTAACAAGATAATACTACTTTCACAGTTTACTAACTCAAGTTTGTTTACATTAGATCGGCTGCCTTTGTTATTGTTGTTACGCAAAAGGGAAAACGAATGATGGCATGATTTTTCAAGATTGACACAAATGTTTTCCTCTTTTTATACGAACTTTTACGCATATTTTGCGAAAAAAATACGCTTGATTAAAAGATTGAATTTAAAAAACTTATTTTAATCATACAGAAATTTGTGTATGCAAATATTATTAAAAAATTTTGATTTATGTATTTAAACCATCCAAATACAGGGATTTATGTATTCAAACCATCCTAATACAGGAATTTATGTATTCAAACCATCCTAATATAGGGGTTCATGTATTCAAACCATCCTAATACAGGGTTTCATGTATTCAAACCATTCCAATACAGGGATTCATGTATTTACTGGAGTCACATCAGGCCCCGAAAAATATTTTGGCCCGATCGGTTCAGCAGTTTTGAGGTTTATTGGACACAAACAAACAGACAGACAAACAAGCAAGTTGTGTATATTATATATTGATTATTATATTGATATTATATATTATTAAACAGCATTAATACACAAACAAATGAAAACAAAGAGAAACTGTTAATTAAAAAATCTTCTCTTTAATTACTTGTAAACTTATGTTAAAAAAAAACCTGGTTAACAATAAAAACTTAAATAAAAAAGTCGTCTTCATTATATTGATACTATCGCCACCACCGTAATAAAGCTCTCCTGCTCTGCAGTAATTTTACATTTTTTAATATACTGATGTTAGGTTAATAACTGTTATGATTTATTATTTTATTATTACTGCAGAAAATATATGAATTGATATGATTTAGGTGGAGCTAAATTTAATATTTTTTTACAGACTATACTATTTCAAGGGAGTGTTCGCGAAAAATGAAAGGTGGTTTTAAACCATTTTCTCCTTAATTATATACGCAACGGATTGACATAAAATGACGATCAAAACCGAATTCAATTCGAGATCAGCTTGTACCCCCTTTTATTTTTTGAGAGCGGTCCCTTTCATTTCAAAATAGAATTAGTTTTCCTACATTAGCAGTATGTTACTGTTTTTTTAATAATAACTTTTTCTACAGGATTAAATATTAACCAGGATTCTATCCTGTAGCATTTGCACCATTAACTTAAGACGGCTTATAGACGGCAAACAAAACATGTAGTAGATTTTTTTTGAGTTGAGTTTTGACAGTGTAAGGGTAAGGATATAAGTTGATATCAGTTTTCATTCATTCTGCTCAACATCATCACCTTTATTTGACAACTTGATATCAGGGTTCTTCATAGTATCATCTATATTTGACAACTTGACATCAGGGTTCTTCAAAGTATCATCTATATTTGACAACTTGACATCAGGGTTCTTCATAGTTTCATCTATGTTTGACAACTTGGCATCAGGGTTCTTCATAGTATCATTTATATTTGACAACTTGACATCAGGGTTCTTCATAGTATCATCTATATTTGACAACTTGACATCAGGGTTCTCCAAAGTATCATCTATATTTGACAACTTGATATCAGAATTCTTCATAGCATCATTTATATCTGATATCTTGACATCAGGGTTCTCATCCAAAGGTTGTAGTACTAAAAACATTTAAACAAATTATTACTTCATATCACCCTTATGCGGTCTAAGAAATAAAAACAGTTTTCCCTTATATCGAACTACCGAAAGTGTTTAAAAAATATTAACACTTTGTTTAATATCATTAACAGAAGATAAGGTGTGTCTCGCAATTTTTTTAATTCCTAACATTCAGTTCAGTTTAATACTAAGAAAAGAATAGGAGTATTTTTCTAGCATTTGTATGACGATACTTCAAACTTTATCAGATGTTGAAGCTTTATTTTGAATTTTTTGATGAATTTTCGCAAAAACTTTTCATTTTTTTTATAAATTTTACCAATTTTTCCCATTTTGTTTGCGAAACAGACTGAAGCGAAAAAAGCAAAAAATTCTCACAATTTTTGCGGGCGAACGAAATGCGAAAATTTTCGCGAAACGATTTTCTTTTTCGGTGGAAAATCTATTCGGAACCCAGGAAGGATACCGATAAATTAATGGATCAAACATAGTTGTTCTTCATATTGAAAAGTTTTCAACTGCAGTGGATATCGAGATCAAGCGTTGTGAATAAGCGCTATTTCGAACTAAAGTTTCAACCTCGGAACAAGATACAGATCTGGGTCACGTGTATCTGATCTGGTCACGTGTATCTGATCTGGTCACGTGTATCTGATCTGGTCACGTGTATCTGATCTGGTCACGTGTATCTGATCTGGTAGACTAATTCATTTCTGTATAACTTATTTCTAAGAAAAATTATTAATACTAATTCATTCAAAATAATTTTTTCAATCTAAATACTAAAATTATCAATGTACGTTAGAGTTCAAGCTCAATGTTAAATTTAAACAAGTAATAAATGTAAGGTATAGTGTAACACATTTAACGTTTTAATCGTGAAAACTTAGTAATACACCAGAATAAGCCTGGCTGTATACAGTCATTATAATTTTACATCATTAAATACAGCTATATGTTTCCATTAAACATGAACAAGTATGATATTCAACATCCATTACTATTTTCTTTAACTGGTGAAATGATATCACCGCTTGAAATACAAAAAGACATCCTGGGCCGCAATTTTTAATATCTGTATGTAATGTATAATGCCCAACTTTTTCATTCATGCACACAGGGGCGTACGAGGGGGGGCCGCGCCCCCCCCACCCCCTTTACGCGTGCTCCCCTTGAGAGGCTGAGAGGGGGCACCCATGAGGGAGGCTCTTTTAATATTACATCTGCTTGCATTTCCCTTCCTCAGGCCAGGCACAGTGGCCCCCCCTGGGAGTTCCAGGCTCAGTTACATGTCCAGTCTTATTGGGATAACAGACCAAAATGCTTTGTTACATTTTCGGGTTGCTATCATCCGAATTCTTATCTAATGATTAGTAGCACAAATTGTGAAATTCATCTAACTTAAAATCTTACCTGTTTCCTCATCGGACGTTTTGAAGTTCTTCTTAATTTGATTAATCTTCTCCTTGACCTTGGGGATATTTTTTTTACTTAAATCATGCTCTTCCTCATCATCTTCATCTTCTAAAATATAATAATTTATTAAAATATTCAGATCTGTTATGGGTGTATTTGAGATTTAGAGATTTGAATTTATGCTGTATATTATTTTAATTAACCGGTTTATCCCCCCAAAAATATCTCAAAATTTATTTGTACTATGAACGTTTCACTCATCATTTATGGAGCATTTTAAAATCAATTCAATTTGTTTTGAACGCAATTTCTTTCATACAAAAATTTGTTTATTACTTTTACATTAATTATTACATTTTTACCTTTTTTCTCAGATAACAATTTCTTTTTTTCTTCTAATGTGACAAAGCTCTTGGTAAGTTTAATTGAATCAACATTCTTTTCTTTTTCTCCACTTTTTTCCTGATTTTCTTTCTTCTCTTCCTGTATTAGTTCTAAATTCTCTCTTCTCTTCTGCAAATTAACGATTATTTTATGTAATAAAAACAGAGAAACAGTTTTTACTTTTTGGAAAATCTATTAATATCGGTAAAAACTAAACTGTTTTTTTCTAATTGCTCAATGCTCTTTTTTTTACTTTTTTAACCTTTCTATGAAGAAGATGATCATCAGCAAACTTGTCTTTCATCCTAGCGATATCTGCAGGCTAAACAAATGATTTTATAATTTACAGAGTTGGAATCTTTTGAATGAACAGAACGAGCTTAATTCGTAAAGTAATTCATCTCTTTCTTGGAATGTGTTTAGTTAAATTGACCATTGCAAACATGTTTATTTATATACTCGTGAATGTTAGTTAAGTGGCACACACTGTACTTGGATATTATCTGTCTCACTTCCTTTCTTGATATTCTCCTTCATGTTTATTAGGAGTTGGACACACTTTTAAAGAAAAATACCAGTCCAACTTGTTCTTTCTTGATATTTTCCTTCTTATTTATTGGGACGCACTAATTTAGAAAATACCTGTCCCACTGGTCCTTTCTTGATATTCTCCTTCATGTTTATCGGGAGTTGGTTCACACTGTTTAAGAAAAATACATGTCCCACTGGTCCTTTCTTTATATTTTCCTTCATGATCGTTGGAATACACTGTGTAAGAAAAGTACATGTCCCACTTTTTCTTTCTTGATATTCTCCTTCATATTTATTGGGGCACACTGTTAAAGAAAAATACCTGTCCCACTGGTCCTTTCTTGATATTATCCTTCATATTTATTGGGGCACACTGTTAAAGAAAAATACCTGTCCCACTGGTTCTTTCTTGATATTATCCTTCATATTTATTGGGGCACACTGTTAAAGAAAAATACTTGTCCCACTGGTCCTTTCTTGATATTCTCCTTCATATTTATTGGGGCACACTGTTAAAGAAAAATACCTGTCCCACTGGTCCTTTCTTGATATTTTCCTTCATATTTATTGGGGCACACTGTTTAAGAAAAATACCTGTCCCACTGGTCCTTTCTTGATATTTTCCTGCATTTCTTCTTCAATCAACTCTTGAAGGGATTTATCTCTTTCTTTCTTAAATATAATTTGAATATAGAGAGGTAGGCGATTATATCAATACAATTAAGAAGACTTTCGATTTCAATTTCGATTTAAGTCAAGTTGTTAAACAGCATGGATACAAATAAATGTAAAAGTTAAGAGAAGCTATCTTCATTGTATTGATATAATCGCCTACAACTGTAGTTTGGTAAAATAAAAAAGAATTTACATTGAACTCTGTACTCTGTCAGGTCAACTTCCTTCTACTTGAAATATAATAACTCGTTTTTAATCAAAGAAAACTTTACTTCCTGATTATCCTGAACCTTGTTTCCAGGTGGTTTAAGAACTCCTGAATCCTTGTATCTAGGTACAGGAGGTAATTCATCTGCTCCTGGGACCTCCTGATCTCCGGGTACAGGAGATAGTCCCAGTGCTTCAAGCACCTCCTGATCTATTTCTGATTTTCGTATGAGAGCTTTATCCTAAATTCAAGATTTGAAAGAAAAATAAAATTTCTTGGGATTACATGTTACAGTTGTAACCTGAATACTATCCAATAGTAGGAGCAAGGTTGTATACTAAGGATTGCATGTTACAATTGTAACCCAAATACTATCCAATAGTAGGAGCAAGGTTGTATACTAAGGATTACATGTTACAATTGTAACCCGAATACTATCCAATAATAGCGACCAAGGTTGTATATACTAAATTTGCTTACTCTCGATGCACTCTAATGTACAGGAAATGTCGTCTACTAAGTCCTAAGCAAAAATAAATAAAAACAATATATGACGTCACTGATCCCTACTCTCGCCGCTGTAAAAAGTGACGTGATTTACGGATTTTATCTATCTATGCTTATGAGACGACATTTCCTGCAGCGAGAGTAAGCAACCTTATTTTACAACCTTGCTAGGGAGGGGAAATTCTAGAAGAGAAACTTTAGGAGAGGATCCCTTGATCAGAGACAGTATTCTTTGAAAAAACCAAAGACATTATGCATTAAATATAGTAAATTTGATCCGAATACGTCAGGAGAGGTGAGTGCACTAGTGTATTGTGTATTTGACTTAAAACGGAACAAATTGGCGGAGAAAGAGAGAAATAAATTAATTAACAAAAAAGTTTTTAAAATAATTATTCTTTAAAAATATGTTGCAGTGAATTTCATGAAATACAATTCTAATTATTTATCTTCAGCAAACACATTTATAGTTTTACTAAGCTTTTAAAGAAGAACGTCAACGTATATACAGATACTTTTTAAAGTCGAATTAGAGAAAATACTGATTCTGTATTTAACTAAAACCGTGAACAATATAGTGACTGTTTTTAGTCGAAACCTGGGACAATACAGAGATTGTTTTTAGTCGAAACCAGGGACAATACAGAGATTGTTTTTAGTCGAAACCTGGGACAATACAGAGACTGTTTTTAGTCGAGACCAGGGACAATACAGAGATTGTTTTTAGTCGAAACCTGGGACAATATAGAGACTGTTTTGAGTCGAAACCAGGGACAATACAGAGATTGTTTTTAGTCGAAACCTGGGACAATACAGAGACTGTTTTAAGTCGAAACCAGGGACAATACAGAGATTGTTTTTAGTCGAAACCTGGGACAATACAGAGACTGTTTTTAGTCGAAACCAGGGACAATACAAAGACTGCTTACAGTCGAAACCAAATACAATTTATAATCTGTTTTTAGTCGAAATGAGGAAAAATACAGAGACTTTTTTTAGTCAAACCAGGAACACTAAAGAGATTGTTTTCAGTCAAAAACAGGTATAATACAGAAACTGCTTTTTGTCGAAACCAGGGACAATACAGAGACTGCTTTTATTCGAAACCAGGGACAATACAGCTAGACTGCTTTTAGTCGAAACCGGGAACAATACAGAGACTGTTTTAGTCGAACCCAGGGACAATATAGAGACTGTTTACAGTCGAAACCAGGGACAATACAGAGACTATTAACAGTCGAAACCAGGGACAATACAGAGACTGTTTTTAGTCGAAACTGGGGACAATACGGTGACTACTTTTAGATTAAGCCAAGGACAAAAACAGAGACTGATTATAGTTGAGCCAGGCACAATATAGATACTGCTTTAAGTAGAAACCCGGGACGTAATACAGAGACTGTTTATAGTCGAACCCATGGAAAATACAGAGACTGTTTTAAGTCGAAACTAAATACAATACAAAATCCGTTTTTAGTCGAAACCAGGAACAATTCAGAGACTGTTTTTAGTCGAAACTGGGGACAATGCGGTGACTACTTTTAGATTAAGCCAAGGACAAAAACAGAGACTGATTATAGTTGAACCAGGCACAATATAAATACTGCTTTAAGTAGAAACCCGGGACGTAATACAAAGACTGTTTATAGTCGAACCCATGGAAAATACAGAGACTGTTTTTAGTCGATACCAGATACAATACAGAAACTGTTTACAGTCGAAACCAGGGACAATACAAAGACTGTTTTAGTCGAAACCAGATAAAATACAGAGACTGTTTTGTTGAAACCAGGGACAATACAGAGACTGTTTTGTTGAAACCAGGGACAATACAGAGACTGTTTTGCTGAAACCATATAAAATACAGAGACTGTTTTTGTTGAAACCTAGGACAATACAGAGACTGTTTTTGTTGAAACCAGGGACAATACAGAGACTGTTTTTTTTTAAACCAGGGACAATACAGAGACTGTTTTTGATGAAAACCAGGGACAATACAGATACTGTTTTTGTTGAAACCAGGGACAATACAGAGACTGTTTTGCTGAAACCAGATAAAATACAGAGACTGTTTTGTTGAAACCAGGGACAATACAGAGACTGTTTTGCTGAAACCAGATAAAATACAGAGACTGTTTTGTTGAAACCAGGGACAATACAGAGACTGTTTTTGTCTAAACCACGGACAATACAGAGACTGTTTTGGTCTAAACCAGGGACAGAGAATGCTTAACGTTTACAATAACAAACAAATTAACTAATTACTTTTAAAAACTTGATTAAGAACAATAGTCCAAATTCAACCTTGCTTCTAATTTGTAAAGAGTTTTAGATCGCCATTAAATTCTTACTGTTTGTAGGTAACCCTGAATTTATAATAAATAATATTACATTGAGTTTTTTTGACAGAACGTACTGGTAGGCCATACAAAAAAAAGTCCAACGGTCCCATGCTCTTTACCTGCATTTGTTTACTAGTTGGTGCACCTGATAGAACATTGAATGCAGCAAGCACAATTAATCCTGAAACATTTAGAATAAGTTTGTCACTTTTTATCCATGCTTTTAATTTTAATTTCATCTAATATGCGCTCTGTATCTATGCTTTACAGTGGTAGGCAATTATATCAATACAATGAAGACGATTTTTTATTCCAGTTTTAATTGCTATAACTAGCTTTTTTCGAATTAAGAGTTGCAATTCATATTTTTAAAAATGTGTGATAAGACTTTGGATGAAAAAAAACTTTTTAGGGTAATCTTTCATGCAATGTTTAGCAGCACACAATATTATGATATGCTTCCTACGAGATACATCTGGTGAAATTTAAAAAATTAGTCATAGTTTTAGTAAACCCTTAAAAATCTCATCCACAGACACTGAACACTTGTCTAAAACTCTAGTCTGATGCGTCAAATATGTGTACTGCAGTTTGAGGAGATCAAAACAAATGATCCAAGGGCAAAACATCATTTCTGTGGGGGGGGGGGGGGGTGAATATATGAAAATCTGCGGCTTTAAACCTTAAAAATGATACACTCTAAAGGTGGGGAAGGGCAGCGATAAAAAGAAGAAAAAAATCATAATGATTTCTTGGATATTTACTGTCTCAAAACAAGTTTACGAAAATACATGCTTCGGTCCTACCCTTTCATAGGTTGTGGGAGTTTGTTTACATTCCTGTGGTTCAGGTTTCAAAAATATAATGATTAGGTAAATAAAGTTTTAGGAAACTTTCCTGTTCACTTCTTTGCGTTAAATGTAAAAGAAACAAATTGAAGGGCGCTCTTTTTCTTTAAAGGCATGATAATATACAGCATATGTTTTTCAGTTTCTCGAGACAGGGGGTTTCAACATTTTGATAGACATCACCTATATAGGTTGTATAGTATAGAATGTACAGGGTGTCCCAATAAACATTGGAATTCAGTGACGAATTGGATATCGTCTTTCAAATAATTCTTTAATTTAGTTTGGTGATACCTACTGAGAAAGCTGTAATCTGTAAGAGTTTCGTCTGTTATGTTCACATTTTGTTTGTTTATGTTTTGACTGCATACGGTTGTATACTTAGTAAAACAAGAAAATTGCAGTATACAAACAGAGTAAACTTGTCAGTCTTTACTGTTCATCTTGCGGAGACATTATAGACACATCTTTCTAGTCTTTTACCCTTTTCATTAAATAAACTCTAGCATAAACTCTATGGCTTTTGAAATTAGGTATTACAATGCTAATTCATAACAGAGACGATATCGAATTCGTCACTGAATTCCCATGTTTTTTGGGACACCCTGTATTAACTTGTTATGTGTAAATACCTGCTATACAAAGACTGATAATCAATCTTTTTGAGGTGTAACAACCAACTTTTGAACCTTCAACACGGTTTTATTCATTTTCGTTATCACAACATGTATGCTGAATTCATCCTAGGTTTAGCACTCCTTAAAAATAGACATGGAGGAAAACCAAGGCATCATTAATAGCTTAAATTTGCCTTATTTGAAAATCCCAAAGTTTAGCTAAAAATATATCTACTAAATTGTTCAATTTGACATTAACCAACGAGCTAAGATCTACATATATAGATCTGATTTAATTGGAGAAATCGGAAGTCGAGATTTATAAATATTCGCGAAATTATGAAAATATTAAATCGGTTCCTTGATTTAAAGCAGCGCTGTACCATGACATCAATCTCCACTAAAATATATTTATGTGTACAGTAAGACCCATAAAACTGTGGAATAGGAAGATAGCAGCTATAGAATCCTATATGAATATGATGTTGTTTTACCAACAGTTGAAAATCATTTTTTCCTAGTATGATGCACAAGTGCTAATTTTCTTGTAAATTGGACGAAATCTACCAACGTCGTCTTCCTATTACGCAGATTTATGGATTTCAATATAAAATATTAAATATTTATTTGTCCATCTTTTATTCTCCAATTTTTATTTTGAAACACAAAGCAGTCATTTTTACTTATTGCATATTCATATACTTTAAAATAAAAAATAAAAAGCAATTTTACGAAAACAATTGTATTTAAGGAAGTTGCTTTTTATTTTGAACAGTTTTATAAAAGTTTTAATTTATTATTTTTACCATGCGTTTGCGAGTAACAGACTTTTTTTATCTTGTAAAAACAATAGAATTTTTATTTATTGATTAATATCAGTTTTAACATTAATTAGAATACTAAATGTTTGAGCCTCATTTTTAAAAATCAATTTTAAAAGATTCCACTTTGAAACACCATGAAGGTTTAAGTCTTAAGTTTTAACAATGACAGTTTAATCCATGACTCAAGAGTGAAAAAAGTTTAACTTATTTTTTTAACCAAAAGCACGAAAACCAGATATAATTTTAAACCATAGATTAATAAAGATACAGACAGAACACTAGATGTAGGCAGCGATGAATTACACCAAGACACACAGAGAGCATGTGCAGGCCTCCTTTGGGCCTCTGCCTCACACTTGTATGCCTATTCCATTAGCGCCTGATCCAGTCAGGGTTCAGGCATGTGGTTGGCGTCTATTCTGAACCAATAGAAATTGTATGGCGGTGACATCTATCTTTCTATCTATCTCATTATCCAATTCGAGATATGAATCCTTTAATCGGTGCTAACAGTAAATGGAAATATTTGCTTTTACTAAAACTATAGTGGCCTCAGGGTTATTGTGAACGAAAACCCCCTAAATCTTGAAAAGACGACATATAGTGTTCTATCTGTTTTGCTAATTAATCTATGATCTAAGCCAACATATTCTGTTTGGTTATAGTGTACAACAAACTGTTTTCATACTCGTAGCAAAAATATAAAAAAAATAAACCTTTGTCCAAAATATTACTCTTTCTGCATCACTCGGCTGTCCCATTTTTTATAAATTTATTAATCAATAACTTTTATCAGCTTCTTCATTGAACCTGCAGAGACAACTGTGATCTTAGAAAATAAACCCTATCTGGAAAAAAACTAATTTTCTAAATAAAAATATTTATCTGGAAATCTAAATAATGACTTGGGCAGGTAAAAAACAGCAGCCACAAAAAAGTTGACGGTTAACAAATAAATCAAGAAATACGAGAGAGAAAATAATCAGTTTATTGTAATTTGTAAAGAATATTTTACCGTAGAAAAGTATGTTAAGAAAATTGAAATATCGTTTAAACATCTGTTCTCTCCAGATTGATTATCTCTTCATTATATCTTCAAAAACAGATAAACAAATATTTACATCATTTAGGTCAACTTCAACCTTTTTAGTAAAATATAATAATCCGATAATCCACTTGCACTTGACAGAAAACGACATGCTGCGTGGAAACGGTTAATCTGATCAAGGGATATGTCACTGTAAACTATGGTTGTTGAAGCTATAGAACCAGAGACGAAAATTTTTGATTGGGATATACTTAACCTCGTTCGGTTAATTAATCTGGAGTTTATTAACAAGAGGAGAACAAGCATTATTTAATCTCTAGATTAAAAAAAGAGTGGATTAAGCATTAATCTCGATATTCATCATTCAAAAGTTCCCTGCTCAGAATGACTTCAAGGAATACATAAAGGTTATAAACGGCTAAACGGGACAGTACAACGGGACAGTACAACGGGACAGTACAACGGGACAGTACAACGGGACAGTACAACGGGACAGTACAACGGGACAGTACAACAAATGGTTTATCCCTGTTTTGTGAGAGATCATAAAATTGAAGATGCCACAAATCTGCATCTATTCGATGAGACGGATTCGAAACCGAAAACCCTCTGCAGTGTTTGCATGTTTGAACGCTTGAATCAACCCCGGTGTTAAATTCTTCCAAAGTAGACCTCTTATAGTCTAAACCATGAAGAAACGTGCCCCCCCCCACATTTTTTCTGACAATAATTAAAATATAAAAGAATAGAAAGTATCTATCAAGAAAGAAATGTCTACTATGTAGGATACAAGTATTGTATAATGTATATGTACAATTGAAGAAGATGCAAAAAAAGGAAATGTACGGAATTTAATAAGTCTTTTCTCTTACATGCCTAGGTTTCTTCAAACCTTAACTAGTGTTTTTGCTATATCAATAAGTATTCGTATACGCTATATTTCATATTTTTTAATAAAAATATTTTTCGAGCTCTGGGTCGTCATTAAATTCTCATCCTTTGCGAGTAACCCTGTAGCCTAACTATATTTTCAATCGTTAATCAAGACGACATTTTAAGCTGTAGTTGATTAGATTCTTGATTGTAATCTCGATGATAAAGTTAACCGTTAAGTTAACATTAACCTGTTTCTTTCAAATCATATTTTACAGTTTCTATACACATTTCATATATATACACACTACACAGTAAGTCTTAAGATTTACTGGCAACTTCATAAATGTATATTTGTTGTATCAAAATATTAGTTTATCGAGATCAAATGTATGAAATTCATTATTAAATATTTTAGTATGCTGGTGATTTGAATTGTATTTTTTTCGGCCTTATTTGTAAAAAAAGTTTTATATTTTCAATCTTTTAATGTAAACTAATAAGAGCTCCCTTCGTGGGATTTAACAACAATATGTTTTGATGTTTATTGATAATAAATAATTTGAATTGAAGAACACTACTAGTGATTGAACGATAGAAAATTAGGATTCCCAAATCAGAGACGGACAAGAAACTGGCTGAAATTTATCCAGTGAAAAAATCTAATTATTTTAACCTTAAGGTTTTTTGTGGTACTGCATTTTTTCCAAATTCCCAATATTTTTATATTTCAGATATAATGAATAATGTTTAAGAATAAAGAACTAATTATAATCACATGCTGCTTCATAAATAGTATAACAGGTGACTAACTACTGAAAGAAATTATTGAAAACAATGTTTAAAATACATAATTTAACATTTATTTAGGTTATTTAAAGACAATGTTTAGGAATAGAACGAAGTGTTTGTGAGACAATAGTGCAGGAAAACATTTTAACGCCAGGCGCGCACAAACAAATGTCGTTTAAAATACGAAAAGTATTTCTCTACGTAGTTAATCGTTATATGTCATAGCTTCGTCGCGTGTGAGTACTAATTATCAAGCTACAATATGACTCTATTATCAGATACAACAGGGTGTCCCACGAAACATGACAGTTGGTAAATAGTTTTGAATGTCGTCTTCTATACTAGATATTCTAGGCTGTTGGCAGTTTATTTCGTTTAAAAAATCTTTTGCTGACGTATATTTTACTTTGAAATTAATTTTACTGTAATATGACTCCTATATAATATTTTTATTATTGTCAATGGTATTAAATAACTTAAAAAATTATGGAAGAAGACATTCTAAACTATTTACCAACTGTCATGTTTCGTGGGACACCCTGTATCGAGCGGCCAAACTATCTTCCCCGAAAGCATGTAATTAGTACGGATCTTGTACGTTTAGGATTCAATCCAGGGCCCGGCGGGGTGAGGACAAGTTCAAATATCGTTTTTCGTGTTTAACCGGACGTATTGCATTTATTTTTTATTTTTATTCAAATTCGTCAAATTAACTTGAATTGTTTAACATGGAGACAGGCCGACTGTCCTATACTTACATACAAAACCCAGGTACAGAGTCAAATCTATATATAAATTTGGCTTGTCTGTCTGTTTGTCTGTCTGTCTGTCTGTTTGTTTGTGTCCAATAAACGTCAAAACGGCTGAACCGATCGGACCCAAATTTTTTGTGGGACATCACGTGACCACAGGGAAGGTTTATGAATGATAAAAATTTTTTTAAAAAATGTGTTTTAAAGGTTTTTAATTTTGTAAAAAAAAATTAAATTTTTGAAAATCCGCGAATTTTTTTTTAAATCCTCAAAATATTTTTCTTTTTTAAAATGTAAACAAAAAGAACATGTTCACAATTTAAATAGAAGATGGGTGCGAAGCGCCCTAAAAGCCTAGTGTAACAAATTTGAATAGGTACAGTGTCAAATGTAACAAATTTGAATACTTTTGTTAAGTTTGGTACAGGGTCAGTGACATTACCCACAAAAAATAAGACTTTGGAGATTTAAACATTTTTTACATTTATTCTGCTCTGCAGCTTTAAATAAACGATTGAAAGCTAAGTTCAACCGTCAAACCATTAAATTAAAGAGTTTCAGGTCGTCATTAAAGTGACATTTTCTGTGGATATCCCTGTATTTTTGAACCCAGAAGATTTTCTTTATGAAAATAAACTCACGAAACTGCAATTTCTCAAATCCCCCTTCAAGATTTACTGTAACATTTTTGTTACAGTATTCGCTTAAAACGATTTTTTAATTATTTGATTTCAAGAAAACCCGAATTTGACTTTTGAAACCTCAAAAAATAATTCTTTTAGACAGACAGACAAACCAAGTTGATGTTGTAGATTTTCTGTATAGTATTTAGGTTGTTGGAACCAGTAGATCAGACGTATATTCTAAGGAGCCCTGTGAATATGACACCTATCATATGTTCAGGTTTCCACTTTTTTAAGTAACACATGTCGTTTACTTTTCAAATAGCAACTGGAGCATTTTAAGTAAAAATTTTAATCTAAATAAACATCCTAACCAAAACGGTCAAAATTTTCATTAACTATAACAACCCGACATCATAGACTCAATTTGTAAAGTGGAATGCCTGATTCACAACAGGACTCTTTAACCATGCATTTAATGTCCTTAAGAGCAAAATTAAACTGAAAATAGTTAGTAAAATCGTAAAAAATTGATTTTTTTTTTCTTGGAAAAATTGATTTTAGATTGAGACAGTCTGTACCATGTACATGTAAAAAAAAATATTATTTAAAAAGAGAATGAATAATCAGAAAAATTAATAAATAATTTTTTTCAGCTTGGTGAGTTTCATTATATCCATCTTTATAACAGTGATAACGGTTACCATCAATGTTAACCTGAACAATAACAATAACAACAACAATAACAACAACAACAATAATAACAACAATAATAACAACAACAACAACAATCAAAACACCCGAAGACAATTTTCTTCGAAAGATGACGAACTCGACTTGTTGATAAGGTAATCATTTTTAACCTCAAAATAAGATTTTTTTTAGTAAACAAAAATATCTTTAAATGGGGTGTAGGCTTACGTCGAAAAATTATTGATGGTGATCGCTACCAACCTTACTTCTATCAAGGAGAAAATTGTTAAAAACGACTCATACCGAAGAACGTAGCGTCCAAAGAAAGTTGCAACATTCGACTCGAATCGTAAAAAAATCAATTTGATTCCAAACAAATCATTGAGATATTACAAACTATAATCATCGAACACTCCCTTTAAAACACTGTTTTTAGAAGTTCCTCTTCGATATTTGATCCCAGAATCCTCGAACATTTGTACAACAGCATTGATACTTACCAACACTATTGCCAGAGTTAACAACTAATCAGGGTAAATATGGAATATCGGATTGAAAATTCAACCAGTTTGATTTCTCGACTTTATCTGGAGATGTCAACAAGAAGTTTGGAAGAAACCACGGTCATGTCAGAGAATATTCTTGACGAGTTTCAAGGACGATCATCATGTCCAACATCGTCCTCATTTTCACCTTTCAGGTTGACTTTTTTTCTTAATTTTCACATTCAAGTTGATTTTTCTCTTCCTTTCCACCTTCAAGTTGATTTTTCTCTTCCTTTCCACCTTCAAGTTGATTTTTCTCTTCCTTTCCACCTTCAAGTTGATTTTTCCTCTTCCTTTCCACCTTCAAGTTGATTTTTCTCTTCATTTCCACCTTCGAGTTGATTTTTCTCTTCCTTTCCACCTTCAAGTTGATTTTTCCTCTTCCTTTCCACCTTCAAGTTGATTTTTCTCTTCCTTTCCACCTTCAAGTTGATTTTTCTCTTCCTTTCCACCTTCAAGTTGATTTTTCCTCTTCCTTTCCACCTTCAAGTTTATTTTTCTCTTCCTTTCCACCTTCAAGTTTATTTTAACTCTTCATTTCCACCTTCAAGTTGATTTTTTCTATCATATTGCCTTGGCTTCACTCCACCTTAATGGGAAGACTCCGCAATGTAAGATTCCCTCCTATATTTATTGCATCCCTTAATGCCTCCCATGTAATGATCAGAAAAAATCGTTAATTTCCCATTTCCCATTTCAAATCTACAAAAATGCGAAATAATAACACACTATATTTATTTTCAGCTTCTTAGCGTTCGCTGTAATCTCTATCAATACTGTGCTCAATGTTATTAGTATTGTAAACAGTAATAACAACAACAATAACAACAATAACAACAACAACCTCAACGACTTTGACAGGTACCAAATATAAATACACAGTAAATATTATTATTATTATTATAATTATTATTGTTATTATTATCTTTAGTGTGAATATGAATACTGGAAATGGAAGACGAAGGAGATACGCCGCCAGATTTTTATCCACAAAAGGTAAAAAGTAAAAAAGTTTGATTTGTTTTAAATACCGTGACGTGATGATATTCAATGTTTGAAACTTTATATTAAAGGTATATATGAGAAGAATGTGAGACGGGTTGAGTTTATATCCTCGTCTGATCAGAGTTTAGATCTGGATTCTCTTCAACGGATTATTCAAGAAGAAGAATCAAAATATAAATCAGGTTAAACAATAATTTCAGTAATTTTATTCCTTCCACTAAAACAACATGGTGTTTTTGTTTTTTTACACAAATGATGTTATTATTCTGAATTAATTCATTATAACAAACCTTTATTCGCTAATCAGAACTTTTGAGCTATTTCCATCACAGTATTCTTGCTTCCAAAAGTATAATTTCATTTTGATCTCCGTAATCTGACTAATGCAAATTTCAGGCATTTTCTTATTTAACTTGATTGAACTAAATTCCAAAAATGTAGGTTCAGTTTTTATTTAATTTACATTTATTGAGAAATAATTCCAATTTCAGGTTTGCAGTGTGGACTTGGATACAACATCTTTATAAACTGGATGGAACACCAATTGTTTAAAGAAACCAAAGTTGGGAGTTTAAGATCGACCGCTATTAAGTTAAACTAGCCAAGACTGGTTCAACTGCTTCTGAAATATTGCTGAGATCATCTAGAATCAGAAAACAGTAGAGACTTTGTTATACCAGTTGTATCCAGTTTAACAACCTCTCATTCGTTCAAAAAATTCCAACTCTGACCAATCAATATTTTTCAATAACGCACTTTACACTAATTCTATTTGTACTTACAGTAAAAGATACATTACATATAATGTTTTAGTAGACTACGTTTTTATTGTCCTTTATTATCAAATTTGTATATTAATCATGTAAACACTTTTTAATCTCAATTTTTTACTTTTAGTTTTATGCAGATTTATGGTTTGCGACGGATTCAGTTAAATTGCAAGTCAATTGTTAATACTCCTAAATAATAATTCTGCAGGTCTTAATAGATTTTTCTTTTATCATTATTGCGCAACGAAAATATTTATCTTTTTACGTGTAAATTAAATAGTAATTAACCTGAAGAAGAAAAAATAAAAGAGATAAATATCAAGTTTCATCCTAATTTGTCTTAAATCAGAAGTTTTCAAGATTTAAAGTAGTGAGAACCTAATAAAACTGACTCGTATGGAAAACAATTATAAGCATACTCATTTTTGCAAACGAAAAATGAATTATTGAACCTTTGGTCCGATACCATGAGTGTAGATATTGAAAGAGGTTCAGTGTACTGAGTACAGTAGCTGGGCGAAGCTTTACAATTTTAGAAAAATTAGGGTTGTTTGTGTACTTTTTTTCAAAAACAACTTATATTTCCTGTGCTTCCTTTCTAAACACTTACTTTAAATATGATCTAAATATATGCAAAATCCAAGTTTAAACAAACCCCCGCAGACCCTACTGTATGATACCCATTTCCTCTTGGAATCGAGGTTTCGTAAGATGAGATGAGTTGGTTACACAGACTGCTTATCTCCTTTCACGGGATACCTGGGCCTAAGTTTACCCGGCACGACATGCAACGTTTTTACGATAGGTTTTTAGAGTGCCATCTCACGGCCACTTGTTGCATATAATACCAATTCAGGGGTTAAGTATTACAACTTTTAAAGAAACACTCCAATTTTAAACATGAAACATAACATTTATAAATTTTTAAGATTTTGTGTTTCGTATCCAAAGAATCCTTAAATATCCCTGAAAACAGATGTTTGCTGATTGGTCATGTACAGTACTTGTACACAATAGAACATGCTATGGCTTATCTCATGGCTGAGTGTCTATACTATCTAGTCTGTGTACAGTACTTGTACACAATAGAACATGCTATGGCTTATCTCTGTCTGAGTGTCTATAGTATCTAGTCTGTGTACAGTACTTGTACACAATAGAACATGCTATGGCTTATCTCTGTCTGAGTGTCTATAGTATCTAGTATGTGTACAGTACTTGTACACAATAGAACATGCTGTGGCTTATCTCTGGCTGAGTGTATACTATCTAGTCTGTGTACAGTACTTGTACACAATAGAACATGCTTTTATTATATATCCGTGGAACATGCTATGGCTTATCTCTGTCTGAGTGTCTATACTATCTAGTCTGTGTACAGTACTTGTACACAATAGGACATGCTGTGGCTTATCTCTGGCTGAGTGTCTATACTATCTAGTCTGTGTACAGTACTTGTACACAATAGAACATGCTATGGCTTATCTCTGTCTGAGTGTCTGTAGTATCTAGTCTGTGTACATTCTCTGGCTGAGTGTCTATACTATCTAGTCTGTGTGCAGTACTTGTACACAATAGAACATGCTGTGGCTTATCTCTGGCTGAGTGTCTATACTATGTAGTCTGTGGCTCTAACCTATACATTAAAAGGTTTTCAAAATGAAGTACTCACATTAATTCCTAAGTGTATATCACTGAAAATGCGTCTTGAATGCTTTCATAAATATTTTATTTCTAAAAGCTATAAACTACTTGCAATAACTACTTGCATAAGTACTATAAACTACTTATGTGTGCAGAATTTATAATTGCTAGGCTTTTAGGTCTATTTCAATTGTGAACACTTTCTCTCTATATAAATATACATTGTAAAACGAAAAATTTTGTGGATTTTTTTATTTTCAAAAATCAAGTTTTGTTATAGGCAAATTTTTTAAAATTCAATCATCCATAAACCTTTCCTGGGGTCACAAGAGGTTCCAAAAAATTAGCCCAATCGGTTCAGCCGTTTTGACGTTTACTGGATACAAACAAACAGAAAAGCAAATTATAAATGCAGGCTTTTCGGGCGCTCTGTGCCCATCTTCAATTTCAAATTTTTATTGTGGCTTTGACTGTGATCATCTTCTCATTGTACAGTATAAAAAAGAAAGAAAACATAGTTTGCGGATTGCATAATATTTTTTCGTGCATTTTCAAAATTTTACAAAAATAAAAAAACTTTTAAACACAAACTTTTAAAATCATAAACCTTCCATGGGGTCACGTAAGGTCCCACACAAAATTTGGGCCCGATCGGTTCAGCCGTTTTGACGTTTATTGGAAACAAACAAACATACACCCACCCATACAAGCAAAGTATATAAATAGAAATATATTTATAGACTAGGCTTTATTTCACTTTATGCCAAATCGGTTCAGCCGTTTTGATGTTAATTGGACACACACAAACATACACCCACCCAGACAAGCAAAGTTTATATAGATGACCCTAATAGCAAAGACGACATTAGTTTATGATTAACCTGTATTTTGTTTAGAGAAGTTTGCTGAAAAATGAGAATCTACCAATTGCTATGTTTGATACAGTTCCATGTAACGGTTTCAACAAGAATGTATTTGATTGAAACAGAGGTTGTTTTTCTTCTTAAATCTCTTAGAAAGAGGGGGGGGAGAGGTTTTTTATATCTTTAGAAAGTTGGAATGGGAGAGGTTTATTTCTCTTATCAACCATTTTACATACTTTTAACAAATGTCTTTCATATTAACAAAGAAATTAATGTTTTTTGGCACGTTTTCATGCTGATGGAAAATTATGAATGTTGATAATTAATTCTGCATCAACTATTGAGACCGAGCCAACTTTTAATAGTAGGAAGGCACAAGGAATCCATTTTTTGAATTTTTAATTTCTAGAGCTTTAAACCTAGCTCAGCAATATCTTTATGTAAGAACGAGCAAGAGGCAGTTCCTGGTCCAGTACTTACTCCTCTTGGTGCAGCTCTAAATGAAGCTGCTTTTGCTCCTGTCCCCGAAGGTTATGCTGATCCTGCTGATGCTGATCCTGCACCTGTCTATACAGGTTATGCTGCTCCCAATGAAGCTGCTTTTGCTCCAGTCCCCACTGGCTATAATGCTCCAGATGAAGCTGCTCCTGCCCCTGTCCCCACAGGTTATGCTGCTCATGTTGGTGCTGCTCCTGCTGGTGCTGCTCCTGCTCCTGTTGCTTCTGTTACACTAGTGTATGCAGGCAAAGACTATTACAAATGAAAACGGAGACAATTACAACGATAATTACGGTAAATATCTAATTTCTTATTTGAGTCAATAAATATATCAATTTACTATTTAAAGGAAAATGAAAACCCTGTGATAGATGGAAAACGAAGAAATAATGGAGAATACTGGAGAAATAATTATAAACATAAACAAAATCTTCTGAAAAGAAGTAAACAGCTTCCCTTATATTAAAATTGTTTTAATACGGTGTTGTAAAAACATGTTTTTTTATTTTTCAAATTTTCATTTTTAAATTTTAAATTTGTTTACAATATTCTTTAAATAGTTATATGGTATCAGATGTAAATATTTAGACTTTTCTATATTTCTTGTTCTTCATTTTCTTCTTGTTCATACATCTTTCTATAAATTCGTGAATAAAATACTAATTTTATGGGTTTTCACAGAAATGACTTTGTTTTCTGTTGGATTTTGGAACTTCAACCCGACATTCCTTTAGCGATCGAGCCATAAAAAACGTTTAGGGTGTAAACTCAATATTGCTGACCTCCCCTAATGCCCCAAAGTTGGGGGAAAGTCTAGAGAAATCTCTGATGTAACATAAATATTTCTTTGTACATTGGTTTTTTTTGCAATTTTGAATACACTTTATGGTTACCATCTTAATTCTCCTACTTTATCTAACTCTATTTATACAAGAAAACTAGATAAGTTTAATATTCCTAATTTATCTAACTCTATTATACAAGAAAACTAGATAAGTTTCATATTCCTAATTCATCTAACTCTATTATACAAGAAAACTAGATAAGTTTCATATTCCTAATTTATCTAACTCTATTATACAAGAAAAATAGATAAGTTTCATATTCCTACTTCATCTAACTCTATTTATACAAGAAAACTAGATAAGTTTAATATTCCTAATTTATCTAACTCTATTATACAAGAAAAATAGATAAGTTTCATATTCCTACTTCATCTAACTCTATTTATACAAGAAAACTAGATAAGTTTAATATTCCTACTTCATCTAACTCTATTATACAAGAAAACTAGATAAGTTTAATATTCCTACTTCATCTAACTCTATTTATTCAAGAAAACTAGATAAGTTTAATATTCCTAATTTATCTAACCCTATTTATACAAGAAAACTAGATAAGTTTAATATTCCTAATTCATCTAACTCTATTTATACAAGAAAACTAGATAAGTTTAATTCTCCTACTTCATCTAACACTATTTATTCAAGAAAACTAGATAAGTTTAATTCTCCTACTTTATCTAACCCTATTTATACAAGAAATCTAGATAAGTTTAATATTCCTACTTCATCTAACTCTATTATACAAGAAAACTAGATAAGTTTAATATTCCTACTTCATCTAACTCTATTTATACAAGAAAACTAGATAAGTTTAGTATTCCTAATTTATCTAACTCTATTTATACAAGAAAACTAGATAAGTTTAATATTCCTAATTCATCTAACTCTATTTATGCAAGAAAACTAGATAAGTTTAATTCTCCTACTTCATCTAACTCTGTAGACAAGTTTAACCAATGAATGTATTTAAAGCTAATGAGAAATGTTAATACAAGAAATCTACTTAATCAATTTAGAAAGGCGTATAAATTTTATGTTTAAAACTAATTATTTGTAACATTTAGTTATTTTCCTCATCCTCTTCATCCTCATCCTCTTCATATTCGTTCTCCTCATCCTCTTCAAGTTTCTTGATAATCTCATCTGCAAACTCATCGCTATAACAGATATTTGTAATAAGTTAAGAAATTCTTTTTTTCGCAAGTTTCATAAACTAGTCAGCTGTTTAGTCCTTCTGTAAAAATTGCTTGTTTTATTTTGTAAAGAATCGTTTTTTTTATTCTGTAGCGAACCTGTTGTTTTATTCCGTAAAGACTCGGTTGTGTTATTCTGTAAAGAATCGGCTGTTTTATTCTGTAAAGAATCGGCTGTTTTGTTCTGTCAAGAACCGGTTGTTTTATTCTGTAAAGAATCGGTTATTTTATACTGTAAATAACCTGTTGTTTTATTCTGTAAAGAATCGGTTATTTTATACTGTAAATAACCTGTTGCTTCATTCTGTAAAGAATCGGTTATTTTATTCTGTCAATAACCTGTTGTTTTATTCTGTAAAGAATCGGTTGTTTTATACTATAAATAACCTGTTGTGTTATTCTGTAAAGAATCGGTTGTTTTATTGTGTCAAGAACCTGTGGTTTTATTCTGTAAAGAACTGTTTGTTTTATTCTGTACCGAATCAGTTATTTTTTTCTGTAAAGAATCAGTTTTTTTATTCTGTAAAGAATCAGTTATTTTATTCTGTAAAGAATCGGTTGATTATTTCTGTAAAGAATCATTTTTTTTTCGGCCCACGATATCAGGTTGCCACGCTAATTATTATAAAATTATAGTATGAGGAGAAAGATCACTCACCAGCGCCTTTCCTCAAACTTTGTGAATATTAATAATATAACTAAATGTTCTTCCTATTTCAGGTTTAGTTTATAAATGCCAAGTCCATAATACCTTGCATTTTCTCTAATCCAGTCTTCTATAAAATCTTTTCCACAATCCAAAGTTGTCAGAAGGCTCTCAGGGTTTACTTCAATATCAGTATCAGAGTTACAGGTGGATACAACATATCTAGAATACAGTCGAGGATAGAATATATCTAGAGCACATGATGATACAGCATATATAGAATACACAATACAGATACAACATATTTAGAGTACAAGATACAGATACAATATATCTAGAATTTATGGGAATACAATATATCTATAGAATTCAGGAGGATACAACATAGCTCGAATAGAGGATACAGATACAATATATATAGAATACAATATATCTAGAATGCAGGAGAATACAACAAATAATTAGCATATAGGATCAAGAGGATACAAAATACCAAGAATATAGGTGGATACAACATATCTATGAAGTACTGGATTTATGGTTTACGTACCTGAGAACAGTTCTAATATAACATTTGACAATGGAGTTGTTGTTAATCCCAGATCCAGAGAGGGAGGAAACAAACTCATCATGACACGTCTAGGAAAAACAATAAACAATTATTTTTATTTAACACTCGCAGAAGTATCTGGCGTTGCCCGTGTCTTTTAGGTTTTAATCAACGCTCGACTGGAAACGACCTCCAATAATAGTCGGGTGCGTACACAGGATTTTAGCCAGG